CTCTCCTAGTTCTGCTACTCGACACTAGAGGGCGCTGATGGTAACTAGTGTTGCCATGTATAAGACATTAATAGTGGCGCGCAACAATATTAACAAAAGTAACAATATTAAAACAATAAGACCAATAAGCACACAGCACACCGCGTGAGAACACGCTCGTCGCGGGATTATAAGAAGGGGCCTTTATTCTATTCGACAGCGGCACTCAAGAAAGAAGAATCAAGACAATCAAAACTCCCTAGAAGATCCCCTCTTGTGTATATATATAGTTATAGTCATTATTGCCGCTCGGTAAATAGTTGAATATATTTTTTCTAACGTGTCTGCTCTCTAATAATAGAGAACCTCGCAATATGGTCGTTTGTCACCCTCACGGTGTTCGGCGATCGGTTGCGTGGTTGGAGGGTGGGCGTTGCGCGGCGGTTTGTTTTTAATTTTACAAACGGCTGCGTAAGTTCGCATGTTTTATCGCATGACGCAGTCGCTCGCTCCTTAAGTAGAGAGCGGTTGCGTCATCGTACTGTATAAAAGGCACTTGTTTTGGCTCGCCGCTCACATAGCGGTTAGCCACCGTAGATTCTATATCACCTGAGAATGCCTCGTGTAGAGCCGAAACACGTGTCGTATTATCGTCAGTGGTGTGTCTTGCCTAGTGTAGTGGTGTTGGGAGTAGTGGTGCTAGGATTAGTGGTGACGGGGATAGTGCACGCAATTGAGGGAGTGCGGGAGGTGCTCTTCATACTAGGTAAGACACATCATTTTATTTTATATTTGCGAAGTAAATTTTTCTAAAAGCTTTTATAAATGCGATTTATCTAGTCGGCCGTGAATGAGGTCATAGTGTCATTTGATCAAGCATTTTTCTTCTATCTTCTAATGAGAGGAATTTATGGTATACACATCTGTCTATGTATGCCTGATGTCATTCTTTAATTTTATATTCCATGAACTTTAAAAACTACTTTTGTTTATATATGTATGATATTGTGCACACCATATGTTGCTACCATATTCTAAGATAGCGAACGTAGGCATAGTATAATAATTTAATACAAGGTAAGTTTAAGAAGGGTTGGCATGTACGTATTACGGATCCTAAGTTTCTGTATGCTTTATTTGTGATATAATCAATATGATTACTAAATATAAGCTTGGAATCTAATAAGATACCAATGTCTAGGACTACCTGTACTTTTTGAATTATTGATCCATTCAATCTGTAAGTATATTCTACTGGTTTTTCTGCCCTTCAACTTCGATAACTTGAAAGCTGTAGCCGGTGGAAGGAAAAGGGGAGATCTCCCACCGGGCCAGGTGTTCTGCCCGAAGAGCGGCCAACGCTGAGTGGTAGTTCGGAGCTATTCTATACAACATGTAACAAAAACTCTGTTCGATACACTGGCACTGCGTAGAGATGTTGCATCTCTTTGCGTATTTTATCGCATCTATCACGGGGAGTACTCTGAGGAATTGTTCGGACTAATTCCAGCTGCTCAATTTCACCATCGCACATCGCGACAAAACTCGCGTTACCATCCATACCATCTGGAAGATTGGCGGTCCACCACTGTGCGATTTAGAAGAAGTTTTCTCCCTCGCACAATTTCCTTGTGGAATCGATTACCACCAGCGATTTTTCCGGACCGAAACGACTTAGGAACCTTCAATAAAAGAGCTTACACCTTTCTAAAAGGCCGACAACGCATCTGCAATTCCCCTGGTGTTGCAGTTGTTCATGGGCGGCGGTAATCACTTACCATCCAGGTGAGCCGCATGCTCGTTTGCCCCCTCGTCTATAAGAAAGAAAAAAAACTTTTATACTTGTTTATTGACAAACTTTGAACATGTTCTGGGATTTTGTTGTAAAAGCGTATACATTGCCCGATAAAGAAATTACTAATTCTGTTGAGTCTACTAACTGGCATTTCAAGCTTATGTTTTTTCCTAGTGTTTAAGGTATGAACATCCTTATTCTTATTAAAGCTATTTATGTTTTTATGTTATGTACACTAGATACACATTACGTACTAACCTAGCTGTCTCAACATCTGTGAGACTTCTAATATTTCTTACAGCATATGCTGCAGAACTAAGTCTGCTTGCTAATTTAGATATATGGCGGCCCCATTGAAGTTTCGCGTCAATAGTAATACCAAGAACAGTGGTATCCACAAGACTCAACTCCTCCCCATTTAAGAGCACATTGGTTTTCGAACGTTTTACATTAGGTTTTGTAAATTTAATACATTTTGTCTTATTGCCGTTTAAGAGCACATTGTTGGCGTTAAGCCAATGTACTAAATTCGATAGAGCATTATTTACATCGTCATAATTAATTGACTGCCGTTTGAGTTTCAAAATTAAAGAGGTATCGTCAGCAAATAATACTATATCGTGATTGTCCTCTACAAGATAAGGTAAGTCATTAATATAGATTAAGAACAGGAATGGGCCAAGAATCAAGCCCTGAGGAACGCCCATTGATACTACCGATCCGGAGGAACCTTTACCATTGATTACGACTTTTTTAATTTTTTAATTATATTTAGTAATAAGTCTAGCCCAAAGTCTAGCGCCAAATTTTTTACACCGTAATGTTGTAGTTTCCTGATTAATGTCTCATGATGAACACAATCGAAAGCCTTGGAAAGGTCACAGAAAATACCTAAGGCATCTCGTGAATTCTCCCAGACATTAAAATTATATTTCATAAGCTCAACAGCGGCGTCAGACGTTGAGCGACTCCTTGTAAAACCAAATTGGTTTTTATGAAGTAATTTATTTGTATTAAAAAAAATTAACAATTGGTCCAAAATTATTTATTCAAAAATTTTACTCTAAGTTGGTAGTACAGACATAGATCTATAATTAGCGGGGTCCAATGTATTACCAGATTTAAATAAATGTATTACTTTACTATACTTCATTAAATCAGGAAACACACCAGAATCGATACAAGTATTAATAATAATAGTAAGATGAGGTGCAATTTAATCTATTATGGACGCAATCACTGTAACGGAAATCCTCCACAAATCTGCGGTTTTCTTTACATAAATGGTTTGTAAGTATTTTACAATATTATGCGGTAATACTTTTTCAAATCTAAATTCTTTTAAACAGGTATTAACATTCTGTTTAAGTAATGACTCGGCGACAGTTTGAAAAGTATTCAATGACTATGTTGTCAAGATAGGAACATCAGTGAAATATTTCTTAAACACCGCTGCAGCTTCTTGATTTGATTTAGTCAATTCATTATTAAATTTTTAATTGATAGTTTGAGTTACGAGGTTTCTCTTTGCCGGTTTCGCAGTTAATTATACTCCAAGTCATTTTAATTTTATTCTTAGTCGTCTTAATTGTGTTACTAATATGTAATGATTTGGCTGTGGAGCAAACTCTTTTAAACATAAGAATAATTTTTTACATATTCTTTAAAAGCATCGGAAAGATTTTATGATCTTTCATGGTAAAGGTCATATAACCCAGACATGGAACGAGTAGTGATTCGCAGAGTACTCAGCCACCGGGTACTCAGCCTAGATTAGGCCGAGTGCTCTGCCGAATACTCGGCTTTAAAAAAAAACGCGGTAGCGGGCGGCATGCGGTTATTTCCCTCACTCCTCACGAGTACTCGGTACTCGGCCGTTAATACTCGGTGCTCGGTCGAACCCTAAAAAAAGGCCGAATCCGCCGAGTACCGAATCCAAACCAATTACTCGTCCCATGTCTAATACAACCTTCGTCTGCTTTTATGAATTCCTACTGTCGCCCACTCATTAAATTGCCTTGCGATTGCGACTGTTTCTGGAGAATGTTTTAGAAGTGAATGTTTTATTAAATTTATTGTTTATAAGGGTAAATAATTCTCTATATAAATGGTCTGCATTGTTCTTATAAGAAAGCAATGGAAGGTTTTTTACCATATTACTTCTAAATTTCTCCAGGCGTTTTGCATTAATAGGACCAAAAACAATTTTCTCAAGTACCTGTTTTTTGTGCATATAATTATTATTAATCTATAATTTAATTATAAGTTAATAATATTATTATTATAATTTATTAATTATTAAATTATTTTAAATATCACCAATCTTCCTCAAATGACCTAAATTACCGAAATGGGGACTAGGTATGGTAGGTAGGTAAATATAAAAATCGTCTAGATCATAATTATTTTTTCCTCCGGTTCCTAGTTTTTTCCAGGTTCATAACTTTAGAAGATGAAGCTGCTACTATATTATCCTCTAGAGTTATTTGGGTTACGATGCGTTCAGAAATATCTAAAACAAAATAAAAATAATGCATTATAAATACATGATATTAATGACACGATGAAACTAAAACAACCAAATCGTGAACATTGGTTTGTTTTACTGTAATGGCAGCGCTAAAATTTACCTTTGAAATATGCAACGCGGGTACTTACTTTGGAAAACGGTACTGTAGGCCCGTATTGTTTCGTTCAAGTCCCGTTCTTCTTCACAAGCACGTTTGACTTTCAAGAGAATATACCTGTCAGCACTTTTAATCACTTTCGGCATAATGATAACGATAATTTACAGCAAAAACGAATAAAAACACGACACATAACATTCTGTCTTGACACCTGCCATAAACGGTAAGATGACACATGATAATTCAACGATAACTTTTAATTTTGGCCGCGCGCAGAGTCATCTTGTGCGCAATAAAAAAGTAGTCATTAAGCGGAAGTTCAAAATAAAACAAATGCGTAAACAAAAGTGTTCAAACTATTTAAATTTAAATTATGTAGCAATAGATAAATACTTTAGTTTACAAAAAATCTTACTGAGATATTTTAAGGGAAATAAAAATATATGAAAATCATAAAATTATTCTTCTGTTATGTAACTTCCAGTTCTAGTTATAATTTTATGATGAAAATAATCTGTTTTTCGCTTTAGAGATTTAGCTTAGTAGAAATTTCGCATTGCACATGGCTACACCAAATCCACGTCACGCAATCAGTTGTCACATCACATCGTGATATTTTTGTGGCTCTTTTGGGTGTGTGCTTTCTTCATGTGTGTTGTGCTACTTATGTGGATTATTAGGTGATATTATTGTTTTTATCGGGTAAGTTTCGTTTTCCTATAAAATTACTAAACCCCTTTCAATAAACTTCATTTCGTATCTAAGTAAAATGGAATGTTACTTAGCATTGCGCACATTTAACTACCCGGTTACTACACAAATATAATGTCACCATGTAATTATACATATTTTGTGAGAAAACAATTAGAATTGTTTCTTTGGTACCGATATATCATGGCTTACGTTGTATCTAAATATCGGCTCAGTCACAATTTTCAAGTAGACGTCACACGTAAAGTAATGTCTGTCAACCGCTTTTCTCGAATTGGAATTTGCTTGTGAAACTATCTTACAAAGTATCTTTTATCGTTACAGATAGTGATTCTTAACCGCCAAGATGCCAAAATCGGTAAGTAGCTTATATTATTGTCACCAAGTAGTACACATAGCATAAATTCGCGCGTCGACAATATGAATTCTATAGCCTGGTGATTTTACTGATTTCACCATTGCAATGTGATCAGACGGCAAATAAAATTATTGTACAAACATTTGAAATGTTTGTTTGTAACACATTATCAACTGCTTAAGCTATACTTACTGTTTAAAATAATTTTTGAAAGTTTACATATTGCATATTTTGAACTTGTTTGCAAGGTTGACAAATATATATATATATAAAGTAAAAGTGCACCTGTATATATGAATGATAAGAAAATATGTCGTAACATGAGAGATATTATAGGTTATCAAAATTTAAGTAAAGATGATAAGATGAAGATATTCTTATGTGATAAGTATTAAAACGATGTAGAATTATACAAGTACATGTAAGTTTTATGTCATGCAAATGATCATATTTACTTTTATTATTCATGTCAATACACACAACTCATAAACAATTGTTTCAACTTAGGTGAACTAAATAATTTTAAATTTTTTTTCATTAAAAAATCAATTATTTTTGTTAGTTGGTTCCTAATGCACTGGTTACGTTGATGTAGTGTTTTAACTTTATATGATAATAATTTTATCATTATGTTTTGATATCCATTCATTAAATTTATTTACTTTTTGAATAAATATTTATAAATTGGGTTCGATTTTACCTATATAAATTATGAATTTTGGCTGGCTATAATATATTCCCACCTTGACTAATTAATTGCTATAATTTTTTTTATTAATTAATGAGTCAAGGTGGGCATATGTTGTTTTGATTAACTCTTCTATCATAATATACAGGTGCATCATTATTCACATAGCTTTAGTTTTCATAAAATCTTTGATAGGATGGAATTAACTAAAAATGGACAAATCATTAACTAGATTAGTAGTATCACAAGTGCATAAAACATTTTTTCAGTGATGTTTGCCTATAATTATGTAATTATCTCATAATACGGACACAATCTAAAGATTCCTTTTTCTCACACACAAGTCCAAGAAAATATATTTTGAGATCATATAAAATCTGCTAACATGCACTGCATGGGTACAACATAGGCTCTTTCTTTCCTTTTACTGCTATGATAATAATAATAATAAACATTTATTTTGGACATCATGATTCATATAGGTTAGTAACAATTGAGCTTATAACTTAAGTTAGTAATTGGAAAATTCAACATAAAATATGTGTATCTGCTGACCAATTATCATAACACGTACACAATCTAACAATTTCTCTTGATTTTTTTTTAAATTTCTCTTGATTTATATCAATATCTAATAACTATGAATTTATTTAGAAAGGCAAAAGTGGCAAAGTGCACCAATCTTTTAATCACTTATTATAGCTTACTGTAACTATATACAATGTATTATATGTATGTGGTAATGTTTACAATGTTAATTATGTCATTATATTGTACATATGCATAATATGCATACATATAATATGTACATAATATGTTTACAATGGTAACAATCATTTGCAATGCCCTTGAATCAGTTATCATGCATTCTGAATGACAGTGAAACATTGTGCTCTGCAACTAGGCAAGTCCATGTACTAATTTTCTCTTCAAAACAATTGTTACAATTGAGTGCATTGGTAAATTTAGATTTGTGTAAAGCTAGCTGGAAAGGTGTTATAATATGTATAAGATGTAGATGTCTATAGGCGACAGCAACCACTTACAATCAGGATGACCGTGTGCTCGTTTGTCACCCTTATCAAAAAAAAATACCATCCTGGAAGTTTTTCCAGGTATATGCGAGGTGATCCTACAAGATCTTACTTACAGAAACTACAATTGGCTCATTCATCAAAAATTCATAGATGAGAAAAGTGAGTGTAGAAATGTATATATGTATTCTGTTATGTATTTTGTTACTTTCTTAGTTTCTTTTTTGTAAGCCAACTAAACCTAAAATGTTTGTGCTAGGAGTATATTACTATGAGTATTAACAGTAATCTAAAGTGGACATTAAACCTTCAAGTTGTCGATCCACACCCTTAACCATGAGCTAACTATCACTCTTTTACTGTTACAGCCTATTAAAATACACCGCTGAAAATAGCACTCCACCATAGATTGCCTCATAAGCGGAATATTTGTCATAGTTGCTACACTTGGCGAGCGGGTTGGCAACCACAGTTTATATTCATTTTTAGTTGTTATTAGGAATATGCTGCTGCCCATCTGCTGATTTGTTTCCCTCTGTCGCCTATTACCCACAGGATTACGTGGGTTAGTGATATTATTACACTGACTACATGGTAAACTCTATAAACAACAGCATATATCTATAACAAAAAGGAAAACAAGCTTGTGTGTACACCAGGCATATTAAAACAAGGCATACCATGAACATAATCAATGTCTAAAAAGGCCTCTTATTTATTTTTACAGATACTCAGTTATATTAGCCACGCACTTGATAAAAACAGCAATGACAATGCCCTGGTTAGTTGCAGTTTGTGAATTTAGTTGTGCACATAATTGAAAGCACTTTGAAGTTTTAGTCTGTTTTTGCCTGTTTATTCTTGTTACTTACCATGTAGAGTTTGGTTACTGTTTGTTGTTTCATAAATTATCATATGATTGGTAGAGAAAGTTTTAGTTTAATATCATTTTAGATGTCATATTCTTATAAATGTTCATATTTAAATGTAGCTCGATCATATTAATTGAAAATTGTGTACATAGCTAATCATATATGATACAAACAATAATTTTTGTATTTAAAATATTGTTTTCAGTAGTTGAGTTGAATATTTAGTTTATTTATATTTGGTTAGATGATCCACTAAGTTTACCTTTTCATGCTCAAATAATTGAGATAAGCAAGTCCAACCTCAATGGGTGTCGCTGAAAACCAACGCTACTGCTACAGTGCAATAGCATTACGTTGTAACAGTGCCGTTTTCAGCATCTGATTATTTTATGTCTGTTTTCTCTTATTTACTTTTATCTTTGTTGTTTTTATGTATCATTTTATTTTCTCTTTCAAAACGGTACGAGTGTAAGTTGCTGGAAATGGTTGTCTATGTCTATGTTTATAAATATAAATGTCTATATAAACGGTATATAGTATTTGTTGAGAACATCCTGAAGACCTAACATGTCCAAGAAAATATATTTTGAGATCATAATATGATGTGTATGTTAATAGATCTGATATTATAAGATCTGTTAACATACACTGCATGGGTACATCTTATATTATAAGATCTGTTAACATACACTGCATGGGTACATAATGCATCTCCTGACCAATTTCTATCATACAAAAGTTTCAGAATATTTTTGAAAGATATAGACTGCACAAGAATAATACACAACTACACATATACAAAAATAAAATTCAAAGGCATTGTCGTCCAAATCAACTCATGTTCAATGTCACACTTAATTGATAAGATTGCTGTTATCTGAGAACATGTCTAGTGTTTTTGCATCAAAAATGTAAGTAAGGTAATATTTTTGGCTTGTGTGTAACTAGATCTGTTACTGTCTTCCGTTTTCTATTAAGAACTATGCTAATCGTCGGAGTTTGACAGAAATATTTCTATCAATTTGTCACTATCCACAAATATTATGTTAACTCTAGCTACAATTCTAGCATAAGACTGTGACGTAATACAAAGGTACTTGGTACCATTCGGTGGAGGATATTCTCAGCTCAATTGTATCTATCCTAAGACAATATATTCCTTGATAGTTAACTGATTTTGTTGTTTTTTGTTTATTATAAAGAGTAAGTCTACTTTCCCAATAATCCCATACTTCGTATAAATTTTAACCAGATCAGATAATAAAATTCGCCCACTTTTTTAAAATTATGCAATTATTAGCTCCACCTGAGTGGGACCACAAAGGCTTAATGTTAGTTTTTCCTGTGCAGTAACATATTTTTCAGTAGTAAAAATTATCCTATTTGCTAAACAAAAACATGGTCTATCTGTGTACCGACTACCAAAAATCATGAGCTTTCACATGTACTACATGTAAAAAAACTGTTATCTATGCAAAATTAAACAGTTTTTTTTTTAAATATAGATTATTAAATAACAATACCCATTAAAGTAAATTTTAACTTTTTGCAACTCTATTCTAAGATTTAAAGTGATTCATGAGGAAATTAAAAAACATTGTTAATGACCTAATGTCGCATTTACTGAACTGATTAAGAAAATAGAATCATCTGAATGTTCTGAGCTTACACTTATAGCCTATGAATCAATGTTTACTTTGTGGTGCATTCTTGTTTGTAAATATGTAATTTGTTTGTGAGTGTTAGTGCATGTATAAGTCTGTGTGTGCCTAACCTAATTCTCTCTTTCCCCCTGTAGTGTTTGTGTCTTAGTTGTTCAGAGTTGATAAAAAATTCTGCATTTATGAAAATGAACTGTAGAATATTACATTTTAAGAAATGGTTTCCCCCACTAACTAGGTCTTTCTTCTGTATCGTTGAGGTAGTTTACAAAAATTGCGCAAGGACAAACATTAAATACAAATTCTCGTTCCATACGGTATTGGAACCCTGGTCTCTCGCCAGGGCCTCAACTCATTGATAAGTTACGGAGCCCGTCGTTACTTATAAATTACGGTGAGGTCTTCCCGTGTCCGATGTAACCCTAATGCGACAAGAACCCAGGAAGGATTGAATGAACTTCTTCTAGGTGTTACCTCTAGTAAAACTATCTTGCCTGTTACTACCGATAAAGATTAGTGGGCCCGCGTTTATATTACGGTTTGAAGGGTAAAGGTCTTAGACCATTTAACACAATTCATTGAATGGTGTAAGGTGACGTATGTTAACAAGCTGTGAAACACCCCATCTTAGTCCTTAGACGTGACAATGTATTTATCACCTTATTTGTTTGAATTTGCATGTGTCCATGGACCACAGCATCCACTTACCATGGGTTGCTTATAATCTCTTTAGTCACTCTAATAT